TATGCATACTACTCATGGTAGTAAGTATAATGTGTGCTCTTTCATTGTGCAGTCTCAAGTGTCAATAGGATTCCAAAACCAAAACCCAAGGTTGAGAAGACAAACAAGAAAGGAGGAAGAACACGCTAGCAAGGAGAAAACCACCTCTTGAATCGCACCCAACGAGGGTGAATACAATCAAACGTCTCAGAATCTAAGAGGATCGATGCGCATCGGTAACACTAGCGATTCGAACTGAATCTCATGACGAGTTGTGAGTACCGAATCCATAGAAACAGTCGGAAAGATGCATTACGCATATACTACAAGAAGGCGGTTTGAGGATAAATTTTGGTTTTTGAAATTTTCCGATTTTTATTTGACGACCAAAAGATGAGGCTACGTAGGGTGTCGAGGAACATTAGATCTCAGAGAGCCAAAAAGATTTCATCGGTAGTTTCGATCATTGTGTAAGTTATTCACCTCAAAGGCGTAGTTCGGGATCTAGAATCGCATTGTTGTCTTGAACTCATTTGATGTTTTTAATGAGGAATGCTATATATAGATTTTACGTAATAGATTTTACGTCAATACTTGCTATGATATATGATCGGATGTATTTCCGTCGGTGGAGGAATAGAGTTTAATGATAATAAATGAAAAAATCTACGAGTATCAAGTCCGGTGAAAAGTGCGAAGTAGGTGCAAATAATCACATGCTCTTCTTGTATTTTAACTTCCTTCTGTCAAGGTAACACATCTATCTTCAACTTCAATGTTACTTGGATTAAGCACGCGTTTTTGATTTCAAACGTAATGTAGTGATAAAGAACGAGGATTTTCGGTTTCAAGAAGACCTTGGTATCATTTCACATTTCGAAACAAACACCACGGCGGATGATGTTATTTTAAGCGAGTGGTGGCTTCAACCTTCGTGCTAAGTGTAAAGCAATCTTGCAAAAGGACCCCACCGCAAAGGCTTCAACTCATTAGTAATTTTGGTTGCTTGGTGGTTATGGAAGCACAGTAATGGATGCTTACGTGAGGTGACCTCTCCTAATTTCAATGTCATTATGCAAGATACAAGGGATGAGACCATCTTGTGGAGTATGGAAGCTAATACAGCGTTGGCATTTGCATGTATAAGTTGGTGGTCGTTTTCCTTTTTGTTTACTTGGCATGGTCCATGTATTTAACCACGCTTTAATGGGCTTGTATAAGTCTTATACTCTTCTTAGACTCCCTTTCTTCTTATTATTAATATAAAAAGCAAAGATTTCAAAAAAAAAAAACAAAGGTCATGTTTTGATTTTTGACTAAACAACAATCCAAAGTGGTGAGACCATGGATATCTTTGTGGGGAACAGTACTTATCCTACAAGTTCGAGAAGCCGTTGCTAATTAAAGGATAACATAAGCATCTTGGAGCTCTAACGTTCGCTATCTTTGTAGTCATCTCTCGAGTCGTGAAAAGCGTAGATCAACTACTTCACAAAAGAAGGTCGATGCCATGAAAAAAAGCCTCGCACAGATTAGCTTTTACCCTTGAGTTGCACCACTCGCTCCCACCGTTGTCTTCCAATAACTTCGATCATCGATTACTCTTTGCTTCTTTGTCAATTTGCATAGCAATCTTCAAAGATCGTATTAACGCTTGACCACCAATGCTTCTTTATCATCATTGAGATAGAGACCTCGCCGAGTCACTCATGAGGGCACATGCATAGCATACTATATAGGCGGGATCACGAACATATGTCTTTGAAATACATTTTATTACGAGTTTTCCAGATAGCCTTTTTTACCAAAAGGAAGCCAATGTTCACACTAAACCCAGCATTGTTCCGGAGATCTAGGATCATTGTTAACCCCAAACTAATGGCAATGATTGCCCAAAGCGCTTTTGCAACACTACATTGGAATAAAAGATGATTGGCGGTTTCGGTTTGATTCTGAAGTAGCATGAGGATCACCCCGCCAATTTCTCTTTATCATGTTGTCCTTAGTCGAATGGCATTGTTTAAGATCATCCACGAAAGATTTTAATCTTAGCAGGATTTTCCTTTCCACACTTTTTTATGATAGAGACCAGTATCATTATGAGTTAGAGCATTGTATGCAGATTTAATGATAAAATTCCCATGACACACAAATTTCCGGTAGTTATATCAGCACCTTCACAAAGTTGAACATTGGCAACATCTAAAAGAATTTTCTCCCAATTCACTCTCCATTCATCTACCAGCCACCTAGAGAAAGTTAATGACTGGGGATTGAATTTAACTTGAGATACAACAATATCAAGTTGTTGACACATGGCAAATAAATCAGGAAAAAGCACACACAAAGGTTGATCATACAGCCAAATATCTTTCCAAAAGAGTGTCTTTTGCCCATTCATGATTTTTAACTTCCTACCTGCAAGTAAATTTTCCGACCTTGAGTAAGTCAGCCCAAATGGGAGAATCAATCGTATCTGTGTTTCACAAAGACAGATAGAATCCTCTTTGATGTATTTAAACTTAACAATCTCTTGCCACATAATAATGTGGCAACTATATAGAAACAATACATAATTATGTGGCAAAATAACAATATATTCTAGCCCTAAAGATGTCCAATATCATACATAAAAATTTAATAGATGATGGTAACTAAAAGTAGATGAAATCAATGCGTGCTGTGAATGGACGTACCCATTTCATGATTTCTAATACAAATTCACAATAGGATAGCTCAATTTTTCTAACCTTTTCTACATTTTTTGTCCCTTTGGACCAATTTGATGCAACTGGATCTCGGATCGTGGTCGTGTGCATAATCTCATGGTGGCGGTGGCGTGGCGGCACGCGTGGAAGCCTCCTGTCAGCTGGCGTTGTTACCATGGGCGCTTGGATCTAGGTTTCATGGCCCCAATCTCTCCCGCCTCCTCTTGCTCCACCATGGATGAAGCAGAAGGCGGCGCCCGAGCGAGAGTCTGGAGGAGGAGGAGGCGACGCCTTGAGAGGATGATGGCGAGGAGGAACAAAGGGGTAGGGGTGGCCGTTGCCCTGCACCCGGCCTCCTCCCATCATGCGGCCATGGCTGGCTCGCAGGGGCGGCGGTGGAAGCTAGAAGAAGTAAGCGACATATTCATTTAACTAACTATACTAATTGTATTATCCATCCTAACTATACTACTCAAAATATTATTTTTGCATTTATAGAGTTACCGTTTTACCCTTTATCAAAAAAAAAAACTACGAGAATGGAATTACCGCTTGGTCCTAATTCCCACATTTGCGGAGGCAATGGAAGGCGATTTTTGCACATATGGCCCACCGATCATAGACATAGCAATCGCCTTGCGTTGCCTCCAAATCCATTGCCTCCCGTTGCCTCCTACCTTTGTTGCCGTCGGATTGGCCGCTCTCGGTCGATGTCAGCCATCGAATTTTTCCCCAATTATTGTAAAAAATTTCTAAAAACATTACCTGTACAATAAAAAGCCTAACTAGTTGTTCAAAGAAAAAAGAGAGTCAAATCGAAGTCCTTAAAAACACTCAAAACTATTTTCGTGCAATGATTTAGATTGATGCTTGGCTAATCATCATCCCACCACTCAGCTGAACCTGACTAATTAAACACAACCAGCCAAAGACATCTGAAAACGAATTAATTAACTAAATAATCATGATAAACATCTTTTTTTAATCGCAGGGAACTCTGAGGGTGCGCTTTTTTTTTGAAAATAACACGCTCTGACCTGCGGCTGCACTTAAGGAGGATATAATTAATAAACAAAGTTAAAGCAAATCAATGCCGGAATGGATTGCAACGGCAAATCGCGTCACATGTCCAACAAAATATCTGCAGCTGTACGACATTCCATGATCACCAGCAGCTAGCAGCTGCTTTGATTCCGACCCATGTGTTCCTTTGCTTTTTGAGTTCCCACCCGCCCATCCCCTTCAGCCTTTTAAGTGTGTGCCAAGCGTGCCATTATTAAAGATGGTTGCAGCCTACGTGCCACTGAAAAGTTTGAACGCACTTGTGTACCATGACATTTTTTTTTGCCTCTCGAATCATTCCATTCACCCTCTGTTTGAATTTTACGTAGGCCAATATGCAAGGCCTAAACTACCACCGCAAAATCTCCGCCGTCACCCGGTGCCCGTTCTCCCCAACCGCAGTCCACAACTCACGCTTCCTTCCCAAATCGAACGCAGCCGACAGCCGGATGTCGACAGCCAAATACATCACCACGAACGGAAGCAAGAAGTAGAAAGCAGGCAACACCTACGAGCATCAATCAAACCCGTAAAAGAATCAAGCTCATATGCTCCATCCCAGCTGTACAGATTTCGAACTTGGGACGAATCCAAACCGGGGCGCACGGCTTACTAGTATGTATGAGATCAGGCAGGACTCACCCTCGGTGTTGGCGACGACCCGTCCCGGCCCGAGCAGCCCCACCACCTCACCGATGCGAGCTACACGGCGCTGCTCGATCTGCCGCGCCGCCGCCGGCCTCTCCCTCCAGAGCTCACGGCGTGCTCCTCCTCCCCCCTCTCCTCTCTCCCTCTCTCGTGGACACGGACCTCGGTACGCCCGGTCTCGTCATTCTCGAGTGATGGTGTCGCTTCGTACAGCTCCCACTGCAACGTGAGAGGGCTGTTTGAAACTTTTTCCAAAACAGATTGACACCCAAAGTTGAACGGAATGGCTTGAAAAATAAAAAAAGTAAAGTGTCATAGTACGTAATAAGTGCGTTTGAATTTTTTGTGGTGGCACGTAGGCTCGACCATTTACAGTGACACACAGTTAAAAGTCTCCTCAAAATTCCCAGCGTGTCCCTCCCTCCCCCCACCCCCCCTGCGCTCGCCCCAGGCCCCTTTCCACCACCCCGGGCACAAACCCTAACCCTACCGTCGCTCGCCCCGCGGCGCCTGCCAATGGCGCGCCCCGTGTGAGTGTGTGAGAGAGGGGGAGACCTAGAGCCCGCGCTACCCGGGGAGGAGAGAGAGAAGGAGAGCGGAGCGATGTATAAGCAGGGGGGAGCGGGGGGAGGGGCTGGGCTGGACCGGAAGCGGATCAGCGACGCGCTAGACAAGCACCTCGAGAAGGCGGTCGCGTCGCCGTCCACGTCGAGGGGGTCGGCGGGCGGCGGCGGCGGCGGCGGGCGCGACCACCACCGCCTCGTCGTTCCGTCCTCCGTTTCGTCCATCCCCAAGGGCCGCTGCTCCGAAGGTGACGTCACGCGGTGTTCTCCTTCCCCCCTCTCAGTTTCAGTTTCAGGTGCCGCGTCGTGGTCTCGTGGCGTGCCGCGAATCCGTGCCTGTTTTGGTGCGCTCATGAGGCTGTGGCAGCTGTGTTGCGTTTCGGTGCAGTAGGATGCAGGTGCAGGAGGAGATTGGTTTGGCGATTGGGGTTGCGAAGTGATGATGCACCTGCTCTGCACATGGTTGTTGATACTCAATTTTGAATGGCCGTGGCTGAGATTTTTGTTCAGATTTTGCCCTTAACATGTGGGATTGGCACTTGGAGCTTGCTGTCCTGACACTGTATTGATCTGGGGAATATTGCGTTTCGAGTGTGTTCATGTGTTTTCGAGTGGGCTCTTTACTGGTGGCCACATTAAGTTCCAAAGGCTTGGTTTGATTCACTCAGATGTTTGTTTAGATTGATATTGATATAACTGTGGAAAAAAGGAACTCTGTAATACTAGAATATGCTTTTGAAGTTGACATATGGTGTCATGTGATGCAGAACATTCTACTTTATTCCTGTTGTTACAACACAGATCTTGTCAATTACAAAAGTTCTGCTTGCTGTTGCTTTTTTCTACCTGTTAATAACTTGAGTTTATGGTAGATTGTATATAATGTTCGATTTGCATCGTAATCCTTAAGCATGCGTGCATTGACATTTTCATCCTTAATATTCCAGGGGAGTCTGATTCTGATAGTGAAGCATCAGACGTTAGCGGCTCTGATGGAGAAGACACATCATGGATTTCATGGTACCGCAACCTTAGGGGGAACGAATTCTTCTGTGAAGTCGACGATGACTACATTCAAGACGACTTCAACCTTTGTGGTCTCAGCAGCCAAGTTCCTTATTATGATTATGCTCTCGATCTCATTTTAGATATCGAGTCATCTCATGGCAAGTGTTCTACATAATACTCACGCACATTAAACCTCATGATGGATGGATGTATGTGAGCCAAGCATATACTGATGCCATATAATTGAAAATCGTAAAAGCTTTGCTGGTCGGATTCAGAGTCCCATACTGGGGTTCTGCATTCCTGTTCCTAACAGATATCATGCTTGTTCTTACAAACAGAAAAGGTGAAAGAATAGCTGTATATTTTGATCTGTCTCTACAACTGTTCTTTTGAATCAGATGTCTTAATCTGGACATACAAGATGTTGCAGAATGCCATGTATCCAACTAATTATTAATCTAGTTTTTGGACACACATCTTGAGAGCACTATTTTTTTTTGTCCTGCATGAAATATGTTACACCCAGCTCCATTCAGTCCATCATTGGGCTGGCAGTAGTGGTTGGACCGCACATGTTCAGTTCTAGAGTTGTAGTCATCTTTTCTAGCCTTTAGATGTTTTGATCTGGTAGAAATATAAGATACTTTAGAATTCCATGTTTACAACTAACAAATTAATATATTTTCCCAACATGTCTTGAAAGCACTAGCCTTTCTATCCTGTATGGAATGTTTTACACCCAGCTCAGTGCGCTTCATTGTTAGGCTGGCAGTAGTGGGTTGATCCCACATGTTCTAGATTTATAGTCTTGCTAGAGTTGCATATAAATCTTAGGAAACCATCAATAGCAACTGTTTCAACCATTTTAAGTGTATCTTGTTGCAACAGATAGTGTGTTATATTCTGCAATAGTCAGGGTAGCTACTGCTCCTGCCCCACGGACAATCATATCCGTAGCATGCTGTGCACAGCTGCATTTTTCTGCACTGCAGTAGCATTTTGCTTTTGTGAATTGTGAAATGTCCGTTACTACTTTAGGGTATTGATGATGTTGATTATGCACACCAAGTTAAGAACTATAGACAAAACACTGGTACCTCCATTCACAAGTATAATGGATTCTAGTGGACGGAGGTAGTACTTATTTATTATTTCTAATATCTTCATGAATTTTTGTAGATCAATGTTTCTTGGTGATTTTTTTCATTGAAACTATGGTGCTAGGTATCACGTGATCAATAAGAGTGAGTGGAAATTTATATCTGAATTTGGTCATTGCTAGCGTTTGGTTTAAATATGGTGCTAAGTATCACATGATCAATAAGAATGAGTGGAAATTTATATCTGAATTTGGTCGTTGCTAGTTGTTTGGTTTAAATATGTTAGTCATTTTGAATAGCTTTTTTCTATATGTAACATGTAAGGTATGTTTGATAAGTAGGCAGAGCAATTAGCAATCCATGTGACGAAACCATTAGGTGTAGTTTGGTTTAAATTGTAATCATTTTGCACATTTCTTTTTTCTATGTAAAGTGTGTTTGGATGTTGGTGGGGAAATGAGCAATCCATGTGACTGAACCGTGATATAAGTTACTCTGTTTTACCTCTTTTATATAATTATTACATATTTTATTTATGACTCATGTTGGGTTCCTTCTCTAGCCTATACCAAATTGCTTGGGATGAAAAGCTTTTGTTGTTGTTGTATCCCTTGGTTACATATCCCTTTTAGTGATGTTCTTCAGTTATGTAATTGTGTAGGTGATATGTTCACCGAGGAACAAAATGAGCTCGTAGAATCAGCTGCAGAGATGCTTTATGGGCTGATCCATGCACGATACATTCTGACCAGTAAAGGACTGGCTGCGATGGTACATGTTCTACTCTAACTGGTGTACTCAGTTACTCACACTTTGATGTAGTATTATTTATCAAGGTTGCTTTCTTCTGCAGCTCGAGAAGTATAAGAACTATGACTTTGGGAGGTGCCCACGTGTTTACTGCTGCGGTCAGCCATGCCTGCCAGTTGGACAATCAGATATCCATCGATCTAGTACCGTGAAGATATACTGCCCCAAGTGTGAAGACATCTACTACCCACGGTCCAAGTACCAAGGCAGTATCCTAACCATACTCTTACCAGACTGTCTTAGTGCGAATGTGTTTCAAACTTTGACCTCTTCGTGAGAACCTAAACCAACGGTATTTTTGTATCAAGTATGACACTGAGAATGGGCTGCCAATGTTCTCATATGTGTTTGCACCCATTTACCCACAGCTCTTTGTCGGTAAACAAAAAACCATTAAACATGAAAACTGTCCATAGTGCCCACCAATCACCATGTGTTTTCAACTCCCATGGAATAGTACCTGAGATTCGTTAGCGCCCTTCTGTGCTATTGTGGTTCTGTAGTTGCAGAATGTTTGCCATTATGTTATATCCTGCTATTTTCTTAACCTTGTTCAGACATCGACGGTGCATACTTTGGGACAACGTTCCCTCATCTGTTCCTGATGACATATGAGCACCTCAAGCCGCAGAAGCCCTCGCAGCGCTATGTTCCTCGTGTCTTTGGCTTCAAGCTCCACAAGCCATGGGCCTCATGTATTTGGCTTTTAAGCTCGACAACCACAAGATGTGGCACACTGGGGGGGAAGACAGGAGTTTTGCAAGGTCAAGGTCCTTGAAGACTACATATAAGGGCGCCATTGGCAGATCAGTGGATTGGTAAAATTCTATCATGCTGCAGTGCGCTTGTACCTTAGCTGGCTGGCGGCCTATCCAACATTTGAATGTAGCTTAAGGATATCAATGTTGTTGTAACCTAACTGCAATTGTTCTTTGATTAGTAAACCAGGACCCCCTACAATGTAGAATATGGGCATTATTTATGGCTTTGCATAAAATCGTCATGCTGTCCTAGCAACCCTTTACCTGTTTGGTTCTCGTAAGATGGTCTTTGAATTTGATAGTTTACAATTCTATTTTGAATTGTGATTTGTGATGGGTGCGCCATCTTCATTGCCTGCGCTCTCATTTAAATGCTAGCTAAGGCTTTCATTGCCTGCACTCTCATTTAGATGTTGGCTAAGGCTGAGCCATATTTTTAGAGCTGCTGTGCCAAATAAATGCACTATCAATACGTTTAATAGTATTTCTATTTCATGGTGGATTTTTATAAAACTAATTTGGTACTTCAGATGCTAGTGCATTTTCTTAATAAAATTTATCAAAAGTTTAAAAATTATAGGATAAAATAGGGTAGGTTTTTTGTTGCCATCGTTATGGTTAAAGTTCAGAAAAGTACCAACCATGTAAGGTGGACAGATGAGCTAAGAAAGTTTCGCCACCGGTGCAGTTCGACAGCGAACTAGTTTATCTAGAATTTCATATAACATTCTAACAGTAACAGAATTATACTCTATCCGTTTCAAACTATGATACGTTTTGACTTTTTTAGATACATTGTTTTAACTATGTATTTAGACATAGTGTCTAAGTATATAGCGAAAGCTATGTATTAAAAAAAAGCCAAAATGTCTTATAATTTGGAATAAAGTAGTAGTAACAATCAAACAGAGTTGTGTATCTAAAAAACCCATAACATCTTATAATTTAAAACGGAGGAAGTATCAATCATCAGACAAAGTAATGTAGCTAGTCTCATTTACACCATATGGTGTATTATACCATTATACCACTTTATGACTGCTTACAACCAAGCGTTGCCTTAGCAATCAACTCCTGTAAATTGCAAGTCTGAGATCTTATCACACACTTGATTTTATCATACTAAGCATAAGCATGATTACAATCTAAGAAGTAAACATGCAACACTTCATGGCATGCCTTGAACAACTAAGGAATGAAAGCTTAAGTGACTTGCATCAAGGTGGTTGTCATACATACATAATGCAATACATACACGACTATCATGCGTTGTAAAAGAGAGAGGGATGCTTAGGTGTCTGTCTTGGGTTTAGCTTAAGGATTAGTGAGCTCCAGTTCAGGCACAAACCTGGCCTTCGACTCAGGGTTGCCCTTCGGCTTTCGTTTCAACATGGGTGCAATTCTGCATAAGTTAAACATGGTGCTATGGATTGCAATGCTCATGGATGAACAAGATAGAGCATCAATCATAATTCATAATGTAAGTAGGGACAATAGGTTGACACTTAAGGTTCAAGGCTTAGCCTAATTGGTTGTTGTATTGATTTGCCCGACGAGGCATTGGACCTTCCTGGCCAAGGGGTTAGGCCTGTCTGAGGTGGCATCAGACCATCTGTCCAAGACTTAGGCTCTGGGACTTGGTCAATATATGGAAGCTTTTGGAAGGTTTGTGAACCATCCGCTAACATATGTTGGGTTGTCCGTAGGTATGGGTCAGCGGGTCTAGAGGTGGTGTCTCACTGCATGATTTCTTAGACAGTTTGAGTAGTGAGTCGGATCATCTACTTGATCAAGACAAAGGTTGTGTGTCTCTAGGTAGCTCTGGGCTATGATGGTGGACCACCCAAGAGTATGCTCAAACCATGTGTACGTGCATGATACTCTTGGGCTAGCGGAATCCGAGTTGAGTCTGTGGACCATCCGTGAGCTCTAGACAGAACTCACATGGCTCTAGTGGCTCATCTTTGTGCACATCAACCTTTTGGTAAGTACCACCGGACCAACCGGGGATTTAGGATGTCTCAAAGTGTGAGTTTTGACTAGGCGGACCATTCGGGTGTCGAGGCTCACTATCTAGCTTGCCAAGAGCGGATTGGGCCATGCCTTCCAAGGGGGATTGTTCCTAGAGGTTGCTAGGTCCCTACACATTAAGGAGGTGCATTGGTTGATTTGTGCACATGTGAAGTTCTAGTTATCAATGGCTATCCTACCTTGTTCCGAGACCTCGAGCATGGTGCCCAAGATACACAGTAGTGGGCTTGGATGAGCTTCTCCTCTCCCTTGTAGTCTTCATCCCCACCAATCTCGAGGATAGAATCACTCCTTACTCCACCCTAACAACTGGGAGAACCTTGGTGATTTCCTAATTGTACCCTTGGTGCTCCTTATTCCTTGGTCTCTTTTTCCTCTTCTTTCATTTCCCTTTCTCCTTGCTCCTCCTTGAGCTCTTGCTTAGAGACAGGGAGAGAGATGAGTGTGGCACAAGTACACTGATGCATTGAGCGAGGACACTTCATGCTGACATGTGGGCCCTGGAGTTAGAGGTGGACAACTCATAAAATTGCATGGACTTCCTCCTTGAGCTCTTGTTCAGAGGGAGAGATGTGTGTGTGACAAAAGTACCTATGTGATGAACAACTTTGATTGACCGATTGTCATTGTGCCGTGGCAGATTTTCTAGGTCCTAGCCGGACCATCTGTCTGCCACAACTTTGACTGACTGACTTTGCTAACCTGCTAACATGGCGACTAATGGACGGCCATACAACGATTCAAAAAATGTCACGTTCAACTAAACATAACATATATTATGCAAATAGGAGTTTATGCCCATAATGATTATGTATAGATCAATGAATGCATGCTAGGCCGTTACACGTAAATAAACAACAAATGACAAGATGATTATGCAATGCACGCTAGACTTTCTTAAATTCACTCTCTCCATATTTTTCATCCTCACATATTTTCTATATCTTGTGCGTACTCCAGAGAGCTAGTACTGGTATCCATCATCCATCTTTAGTTAGCAAAAAATCTGAAATAAAGGATAGATATATTTAGAGATCTATAAAGAAGATGTTGTAAAATCTCTACTCCTAAAAGTAGTTTATATTTCTGAAAGTAGGCACATGTGAAGTTCTAGTTATCAATGGCTATCCTAAAAGTAGGCACTCCGGAGATGGACTGAAAATTCTGACTCACAAGAACCAAAACATCTCATGCAGTAACCTAACAGTAGTTTATATTTCTCTTAAAAATAGACATTTAACAATTTACTGGAGCTATGGAGGAACATCAATTTCATCTGATCCAAGGCCCCAACTCAACGGAAAAAGAAAGCAGCTCCGGGTCTTGAGCTCAGAGTTAAAATATTCACCAGTACAAAAAGAAATCCATGCAGGATTCAGGTAACAAGAAGAAACGGATGTCCATGTTTTAGATGGAGTATAATTTATTTAGGATCATTCCCTCCATCCCATGTCCATGAGTTTGCAAACTTGAACTCACTCTAAAATTGTAGATGAAAAAGACAGACAATTTAAGATGCCACCAATTAACCGGTCAATGCAGCATTGAGCGCACTGTGAACATCGACTCCAATCTGAGCCTCAGCCTTCTCCAGGTCAGTAGAGGCTGAACCAAGCTTGGCAGTGAAGTCCGCGAGACCCTTCTGAACCAATGCTGGGTCGATCTGATCCACAGGGACAGCCTCAACAGCCACAATATCAGCAATGGAGTTTGCATGGACGAAAGCAAACCCACTGCTCACAAAGTACTTGGTCACATCGTTTCCCTCGTGTACTGAGAGAACACCAGGCTTGAGCTCTGCAATTGTGGCAACATGGCCTGGCAAAACACCCATCTGACCAGTTGTAGCTGGTACAATGACCATGTCAACCTGAAAACAAAATCAAATCAACGAAAAGCAACAGAGGATAAAAAAGGTTGTCAGGGAAAACTGCCACATGAACCATATCATAACTAACAAGAAAACAATAAATGCCACAAACTAATTCCTTGTCAGACAGATAATGATAGTAAAAAAACAGAAGAGAACATGCCCTGAAACCTATGAACTGTATACATCACAATGTAAAGAGTTACATTTCCATAAAGAGGTTTGCATGACAACAAATAAGCAGTGCAAAGGATGCAAAAAACATGACGAGAAGATTCCATTTAAACAAAAGCATGGATCATACTTAGATCACCCTTCTGTCCAAGGGTACCACAGAAAGCACTTTGAACTATGCACCATAAAGCATTCAACAACAACAACAACAAAGCCTTTAAGTCCCAAACAAGTTGGGGTAGACTAGAGTTGAAACCCAGCATAAGCAATCAAGGTTCAGGCACGTGAATAGCTGTTTTCCAAGCACTCCTATCTAAGGCTAAGTCTTTGGGTATATTCCATCATTTTCAAGTCTCCTTTTATTGCCTCTACCCAAGTCAACTTCGGTCTTCCTCTGCCTCTCTTCACGTTACTATCCTAGCTTAGGATTCCACTACGCACCGGTGCCTCTGGAGATCTCCGTTGGACATGTCCAAACCATCTCAACCGGTGTTGGACAAGCTTTTCTTCAATTGGTGCTACCCCTAATCTATCACGTATATCATTGTTCCGAACTCGATCCCTTCTTGTATGACCGCAAATCCAACGCAACATACGCATTTCCGCAACACTAATCTGTTGAACATGTCGTCTTTTCGTAGGCCAACATTCTGCACCATACAACATAGCAGGTCTAATCGCCGTCCTATAAAACTTGCCTTTTAGCTTCTGTGGTACCCTTTTGTCACATAGGATACCAGATGCTTGACGCCACTTCATTCACCCTGCTTTGATTCTATGGCTAACATCTTCATCAATATCCCCGTCTCTCTATAGCATTGATCCTAAATATCGAAAGGTATCCTTCCTAGGCACTACTTGACCTTCCAAACTAATATCTTCCTCCCCCCCAGTAGTAGTGCCGAAGTCACATCTCATATACTCAGTTTTAGTTCTACTGAGTCTAAAACCTTTGGACTCCAAAGTCTCCCGCTATAACTCCAGTTCCTAATTCACTCCTGTCCGACTTTTATCAACTAGCACTACATCGTCCGCGAAAAGCATACACCAAGAGATGTCCCCATGTATGTCCCTTGTGACCTCATCCATCACTAAGGCAAACAGATAATGGCTCAATGCTGACCCTTGATGTAGTCCTATCCTAATCGGGAAGTCATCCGTGTCTCCATCACTTGTTCGAACCCTAGTCACAACATTGTTGTACATGTCCTTAATGAGCCCGACGTACTTCGTTGGGACTTTATGTTTGTCCAAAGCCCACCACATAACATTCCTTGGTATTTTATCATAAGCCAAATAAGAGATGATGGCATACCATGGTAAATACATGAGAATAGATGAAAGGACAAAGCTATATTCACTAATAAGAAACTAGGTTGCAGAAAATAAGCCATTCTATTCACAACAAGAACAAACCTCACGAGCAAAAGCAAAAAAAAAAAATGATGAACCAAAAATGAAGTAAACTGTTTATGCGATTTTTAGGGCGCGATTAAGTAGGAATTTGGAACTTAAAATGTGGTTTTTGGTGATCTGGATAACCTAAACCAAAGATATGACATTATCTACTGCATGTCAAAGTAATAACCTTGTTAAGGCACACAGGTATATGATAAGAATCTGTCTAAGTTTGTCTCACTTGTCCTTGATTCACCATATCAACTAATTATAGATAAAAAACGGAGCAACTAACCTCACATCCATAAATGACAACAGCAGACATAACTGTGTAGACGCCAATATAAAAAAAGTGCAAAACACATAATAGGATTCCATTTGATGTAGCATACTAGATAGAATAAAACTTTGATTATACAAACATTAGAAAACACTTAAAGGAACCTGAAATGTGGATATACACAATCTTCAATCCCATACAACATAAAAAGCAAAGTGCATAAAAAGAAGCTAAGCAAGCAGGCATGTACTCCTATTTTGAGGGCTTAAAGATGTTCAACCAGGATGCTCTGAAATTACAGCAACTCGTGTGCATCCACTAAACTCCAAACAACTGCAAGCATTATCAGCAGCAATCACTTGTAATCAGTGAACTTAGATTCTGACACTTGTATACATATATCAGTTAAATGACTAAATACAACCGAAACCATTTATCTCAAGGGTTCCACCACAGTCCACATTGGCCTATCCAAGAGAGGCAGTTCAAACTGCCCATGGGCCATGGCAACCAAAGACCCAACACAAACAACAAAATTACAAAACACCTGATTAATTATCCAACATCCTCTAGCAATTAGAAACTCTGTAGGATCACATTGCATCGCAAACATTTGACCTCAACAAAACAAAAACGCAGGCTAACGGCACTCATTGCACCACCTTACATCGAATCCACAACCGCTATCCAAAACACGGACTCCGGACGGAGGTTCACGTCAACCCGTGAGAACCAGATCAAGGTAGGCGCATGCCTCCTCAAAATATCCCCCCTACAGTCTACAGGGCCAACCCAATCCCCAGATCGTGCAGACAACAAACTCTAGAAACGACCAACATACAGATCTGGGACCAGAAATGGCGAAGGGGAGGGGGCGGCGGATGGGTATATATACCTCCTTGTTGGCGATCTCGGACTTGTAGGGGAGGACGAAGTTGACGGTGAGCTTGGTGGGGATGGTGGCCGGCGTGGGCGGGCGCGGCTGCATGAGGGAGAGGGGCGTCGTTGGGGGCTCGATGTTGGGGGCGACCTTTTTCCACGCCTCCACGAACGTGGAGTCCTCGGCGGCCTCCGCGGGCACCTCCGCCGTGGCGAGCGCCCGGCGGGCGGTGGGCGCCGCGGCGGTGCGGGAGACGAGAAGGCGGGCGGCGTGGCGCAGCATTTTTTTTTTTTCCCTCCCTCTCACTCGTTTTCCTCTCTCCTCGCCTCGCTTGCCTCGCCTCGTTGCCCTTCGCGGATTTTGACGGATGCGGCCGTGCGGAGTGCGGAGGAGGGGGAGCTCAGCTGGGGTTAGGGCGATTTGGAGAGGATATAGGTGGGAGACCTGCGCCTGCGGTTGGGCTGGGCTGTGTTGTGCTGGACCTGACCGAATTTATATTTGGTCTGGGCTTTTGTTTTTGCTTAACCCTCCCCTGTACTGGTCCAGCGGGTATGGGTGCGGGGCGAATTTTCACCCATAGTTTTTGGGTTTGGAACCCGAAACTTATCGGGCTTAGTTTTGGTTCCAACCATGGATTTCCAGTGAAGGTCCAAAATAGACCATTTTGAATCAAAATTATCTTGTACTCCCTCCATTCTAAATTATAAGACGTTTTGGCTTTTCTAGATATATTATTTTTATTATGTATCTAGACATAGTGTATATCTAAATACAATAGCAAAAACTATACATCTAGAAAAGCCAAAACGTCTTCTAATTTGAAATGGAGAGAGTATTAATTAATTGTTTATGTAAGCTACTAATTTTGTTGTAAGTTGAGTCATGAAATTGTATGTTGTTTGTCGCCTCTTGTTTATCGCTCTTATTGTACTCCGTGAGTGAAAATTCACCGGGTTTAGGGTTTAAAGTTTCGGGTTTTGCGGATCCACCAGTTTGGTGGCAGGGTGGATTTTCATTCGAATTGGTGTTCGGGCGGTTTCGGGTTCGGATTCACCGATACTCCACCCAACACGAATTTACCCCGCTGCCATCCCTAATGGCAGTTGAACTCACGAGTGCTCATGGGCGCCACACCCACTAGAATGTAGGCGAGTCACGCCTATGGATCTCACCGGATCGGATCTGAAATGAACAAGGGTCGAGTGCGGATGCTAAATTTCAGTCGTGGGTGTCTAGGGTGGTCTGAAATATAGGGAACATCCTATGTAACCAGGTATCCATGCTCAGTTGCTAACCACATATTTGACACCCAGGTCTTAAAATTTTCGTCCATTGTATAACTACCACATGTGTGATAGATGATTAGTTGTGTGACATACTGATGAGAAACTTTGCTAGTTTCTTAAATTTTTACAATACAATCATGATGATATATTGCTTGTGATATTAACATACCAGACGGGTGCCTCAAGCTCATGGGCACGGTTGTAAAATTGCACTAGAAGGGTGTGACGAGGGCAGGTGCGATAAAATTTTGCAGGCGTTATCATGGACGGGTGTTTACTTTACCCACACTACACAGATCCGTTGCTCTCCCTAGCCATAGAGGCTTTGGTTTTGACTGATCGTGCTCCTATCCGACCCACAGTGGAGATTTTCCACCATTTGTTCCTATCGACAGGCATCACCTAGTTACTAGAATATTTGGTCGAAGACTATGCCTCGCGGCATATTCTTGCCTACGACAGCAAGTACACATCTATACACTAAGCCTGTTTGGCCGAGCTCCTCCCCACTCTGGTTTCGTGCTATAATAATAGCCAAGGAGCTAGAACCGGAGGAGCCCAAAAAAGCTGGCCTCCCCCAGCACCCAATTCATCTGGAGAAGCGGTATAAAAAAGACTTCTATAAATAGTACAGGAGCTAGAACAGTCGGAGCTGCGAAGAGCCCTTCCAAATGGGACATTAGACGGTATCATACATCATCTTACCCAGAGTTACCAAGGTTTTCTCTACAACTAAAAAATCTATAAGAGAATCGTTGATGAGCGTGCGATAAAAAATCATGTACGACATTCTGCCTCTCCCCTGTGATCCCCGCCTCCCGCCTCCCGCCCGCCCGCCCGCACCTGCATGCACACAATAACTGTAAAAAGCTGATCCATCGAATCTGGGCGCCTGGCTCTCGTCCGTAAAAGAAGGCTGCATGAGAGGGAGTTATGATGCCCTGCATGCTGCATGCAACCGTAAAGAAAGGAATTTTTTTCCTGTACCCGACACACAGCCCACAAAGGCAGGCGGTGACAGGCAGACACGTCCCCACTCCCCTCACCACCGCATGTCATGTCATCGTCTGTACTGCCCGCGTTGATACGGAAAAACTAAACTTTTATACTAAAAACACACAGATCGCACAGTATTGTTATCTTATCATAGATCGTATTTTACTAAAATCTTTATTATTATTTTTTGCAAACCTATTTTATATAAAACAGAGGAGAGAGGTAGAGAAAAGGATCATTGTTTCGTGAAACACTCTTTATAAAACTAAAACTTTATGACTATTAAGTTGCATGGATACTAATTATCACGTAGCAACACACGGATGCAAACCTATTTTATATAAAACAGAGGAGAGAGGTAGAGAAAAGGATCATTGTTTCGTGAAACACTCTTTATAAAACTAAAACTTTATGACTATTAAGTTGCATGGATACTACATGGAGTAGAATCAACAAAAGCTAAAGCTTAAATGTAGCCATAAAAAAACAGGATTTTTTCCGGTTCAGATATAGCCATAAAAAACATGGATTCCCGATTCTAGATCTTGATCAGTACTTTTGTACTCCTTCAATTTCAAATCATAATACAGTTTAGCTTTTCTAGATACATTATTTTTTGCTACACATCTAGACATAGCCAATACATCTTATGATTTGAAATGGAATATACATGTATAGCAACGACAAAGCACTTTTAACTGCATAACTGGGTTAAAGAGTCTTAGCACAGGCCCCAGTTGAGAAGACTGCAAGAGGTGCTTAGATGAGGATGAAAATTTACTTCGGCTTTCCGGTGAATCTGAGAATCTCACATCTCACAGATCTAAAAATATCCCGTATGATTGCAGAACAAGGCGGGAGATATAAGCTCAACTGCGATGCAGTTAGCAAGCTAATCAGAAATCAAAATCCCAGGAAGCCAATCATGATGAAGCTGTCGTCTCGATAAACTCATTTCTCCGATCTGGCTCGATGGCAACAGAAGCTTCAAACACAAACGAAACACGCAGATCTCATTCGAGTTGACCTCTCACAAAAGTGCCACTTGCTGAAAGAAATAGAACAAATATGTGATGCACCAACGCATGAATATTTCTCTGAACAGATTTCGATCAGTCATTCCCCCCACAAGATTTCAGTATCAAACTGACTTTCAAAGAACACCCCAAATTTCCAATCATCACAAACTACTTTTACCATCACCTAAATCATTTCTGTGGCATAAATATGAAAACTATATCGGATGCATACAAAATGTAACGGTAAATATCTTGCCATGTGCGATATCCGAAAGGGTTGGCCACCCCACCTATAACACCTCTATACAAAGCCACTCTACAGGCGTCTTCATGGTACCATGGAGGCATGCAATTGCTGCAACTTTACTTTCTGAGTGGCAGCATATCCTGGAATATTCACATCGTACCATTATAGGCCCCGATTGCCTTTCTATACAGGTGAGGGATGAGGGTAGTGCCATCAACCTCTCGATGCACAATATGACCCCTCTTGTGGTCAAAGCGGGTAGTGAACTACAACGATCAAGAACATGATACGTTGCAATCCTTGTGCTCCTCAGCACTGGCCGTTGGTCAATAGCCATAGCCATCTTGTACAAGCCTGCCCCCATAAATATCCAATACATAGTGTGCCATGATATGCTTGTTCCAATTGCTTGCATCTGATGTCTATGCACCATCGATTCTGAAATAGCGGAGAAGGGCACAACATGTGGGCCAAAAGATGCAACCCACCAAACTTCCAAAATGTGGCTTCACCCTATCACAAGCTTTCATTATCACTGGGGAGGAGGTTGAAGAGACTGTGGTTGGGTGTTATAGTGTGCATATGATTGAGAGTACAAGGGGTTCATCATACTCTGTAAAAAAGTATTACTAGTTATATATATGCAACAAGAGATGGAAACAAAGGATTAAGAATTTGGAAGACAACCACCTGCGACTGTAGGGGGGCAGCGGCAGCCATTCCATAATGAATCTGAGATGACTCATCTTGTGAGGGATCATTATATCCCGCTTGTGTAAACATTCCATGAGATCCATGGGCCATGTGATCCTGGATCAAATCAACAGGTTTAGGAGCATACAAATCCAAGGGACATGCAAAAATGGTTAGGTTACTTGATATAACGGCCATGCACTAATATCAACGCACGGACCTGAGATACAATGTCGTTTGTTGTACCAATATGGGAGTATCCAGGATGTGCATTTTGGTTCATATAACTCCCAGAGTATCCAGATTGGGGCGCTTGAGTAAACTCAACGCCATAACCGCCTTGAGAAGCCTGTCGATGGGGGAAAAAATCTATGAGCCAAAGAACTAATTCACAACAATCACATAATTTGCTTGTGTATATGAATCTAGAAAGGGTAAAAATAACATGTTGTGAAATGTATAGAAACCTGGGTAGAAAATTCTGCAATGTTGTATGGCACATGTGATCCTTGGCTCTTAAAATCATCTACAAAGAAGTCCTAGCAAACAAGCAAAAGAGTATTGTATCAATAAAGAGTACAAGAAGATAATAATGCCAGGCATCACTTATTGCCAATACCTGAGACATCCCACCAATGGAAAAACCATCACGGAATGTTTGACTTAGTCCTTGGACAGGCATCTAAGTTGAAAAGAAAAATGTCACTATGTGACTATTGTTATTGCATATGTATTATAAGATAGAAAAGCAAACCTGTGTCATTAATCCGGTTTGGGACATTTGGGCTCCACCAGAAGGCTGACTACTCGGATTCTCCATGCCAGCGTAGTTAAAGTTTGACCCAATGCCCCCCATAGCTTGCTGGGAGTTCTGTTGATGAGCAAGGTGACCACCAATAGGCCCACCAGTACTTGAACGAGGCGCCCCAAAGTTTCTACTTCCAGGTTGATGCAACGGTGGAACAGCTCCAATGGGCCCATGCAAACCCCGGGTCGGAATCGCATATGGTTGAGAATGTGGAGCCCCAGGAAATGGAGGAAAAGGCATACGAGGTACAGCATAGCCTGCTGGGTGCACACCAGGCTTATGCACCCCATTTGGAGGGCCATAAGGAACAAATGATTGTCCTGCTTTTGAGCAGGGAGTCAGAGGGTGAACTGTAACTATCTATGTAAAACAAATATAACATGAACATGTAAACTGTGCATACCTTTCCCCCTGCCACTTCTCTTATCTGCTGCTTGGCTTGAGGCCCCAGCCCCATGCATAACACCTTGACCACCGCCCAGGAACAATCTCCGGTCATTATATATCTGCTTACCAAATAGCATTGATTGAGGTAAAAAAACAAACATGACATGACACCTTGCAGCAGTCATCTGAGGGCAAAGCATTCACCTTTTTTGGCTTCTGAAATTGCACCATACTCTGCTTTAAGTTGTTCAAAGGCCCTTCTACCAAGCACTCATGCTCCTAAATACACAAGTTATGTATGTAAAATTCAAAACAGAAAAAAGTAATATTGTTCTTCACTGGTCATACTGTTAATAACAACAGAAATAACAGTAACAACAATCCCAAATCAGAGTTCAAATGTATGAAATAGCTTATACCTTGTAATGTGTCAACAAGCTATTCCAAAGTGGCTGCTTGCTTAGTACTTTTGGATTACCAAGAATAACTATGCCATAACGTGCACGAGTTAACGCAACATTTAACCTGCGCGGATCATTGAGAAACCCAATTCCCTGAAAGAGCATAGAAGGCATAAATTTACACAACAGTTTGCTACTTAAGCACAAAGAGGCGAGGGCATGTTTGGCTGCCTGCATTAACTTGTATCCAGGATTGTGCAATGCAGTTTGTCCATGTTTGGTTGCTCGCAAAGGGTCTTACACAGGATTGCACAGTGCTCAAAGCAGGTCCAAAGCAGCATTACCTAATACGCCAGATTTGGTCCATATTAGGTAATGCAGATTTGCACAAGCCGACAGGCACACAAATGAAACTCTCACCTACCATAAGGCACGCCAGATTTGGAGGTGACTACATGCAACAATGTAAGCAACCAAACATAATTTTACCAAACAGGGCTTGCCTGTGCAGGAAAAAACCAAACACCAAAACATTGCATACGTTTATGTCGGTTTGGGTTCTGCTGCATAAGTTCTAATGCAGGCTAAGGCTCATGCAAGCAACCAATCACACCCTAAGCTACAAGCATGACAGTACAATGATTGCAAATGAAAATGATGAACGCCGCAGAGATAAAAATAAATAAATGAACAATGGATACCCCATCCAGGAATACTCCACATCAACACAGCCTTGATGGTTTCATGCATCAACTGCTTATACTACACACACAAGGAACTCCATACTGAACAAAACTCAGACAGCTGCAGATTGACCACAGCCATTCATCATGATTAAATTGGCAAACCACCACAAAGTGACATAGTACTTCTACATCATAAACATCAAATGAATAAAACCACAAAGGAGCGTACCTGGTGCTCATTGCTTCTAACACAAGATAGAATAATGTAGTCTTTCTCTCTACCCTGAAATGAGTCTACACTAGCAACCTGCAAGAGGTATAAAACTTAACCAAAGTAACCTTCTATAAGACGGATTAAAGCTATGTTTTTACAAGTTTTATGGTCGACCTCGATTTCCTTGTAAAGTTGTTGGCGAAGAGAGCCATTCCTTGACATGTAATTTACGATGTATGCCCTTTGTCCTTCATAAGGTGTGATAACTCCAATCTGTGTGTTAAAAATGCATGAGTTCAGGCCGTCTCAGGGATTTTGACTTCATATAAACTAAAGAATGGTCATGAGATGATCAGACACACAATGAGTAAAAATACCTGGCTTGGTACAACACCACTTCTTAAAAATGTTGTTACAATTTTTTCAACATTTGCAGCTTCAGTTCTATTGAGATACGATGTCCCACTAGCACTGATCTCTTCTTGTCCCATCTGCAGAAATTTGTATAAATATGCAGCACATCCAAATAAGGAAGAGTTTGTGTATGAAACATAATAATATTTCGACAATTATCAAAGAAGCTACCTGCACATAGAAGAACATAGGCCGATTTGGAACAGGCCAAGGAAAATCAATTCCAGACGATTGCCTCTCATTAACAGTCACTCCATTTTGCAGTGTGCCTTCATAGAAGCAGTTGGATGGAAACTCTGAGAGGCAAGGATGCATTCTATACTGGACCTATAAATCAGAGATGATTTGAGTTAGAATTATCGCTGATGGAATAGATTTATCAGCTCACTTCTAAATGTAACTACTAATCATGGCAATGCCATTGTTTAAAGTTTTGACATAACTTAACAGATTGATAACAGCATGAAAAATCAGATATTAACATCACCATGAATTCATTTACGTTAAGTACAAAAAGCTCAAGGCCATAGATTGTTGACACACCTTAGCAACCAAGTAACTCGATGGTTCTTTCAGAAAATGTATATTTTTACTTTACCATCAAATATATATTCCATATAAAAAAGGTTAGGTGCTTGCGTGCCGAACACAGCGCTATGATAGCATGGATATGTTCCATATAAAAATCTAACACCCCCCTCCGTCCCAAAATATAAGCGTTTTTTATTTTGTCCTAAGTGAAACTATCCTAAGTTTGACCAAATTCGTAGAGAAGAGAGTATTAACACCTACCATATCAAAGAAGTAAATTATAAAAAATAGTTGCATAATGGATCTAATAATGTTCATTTACAACAACAACAACAACAAAGCCTTTAAATATTATTTTTCTTTTTATAAACTTACAAACTTGTGACAGAGGGAGTACAAAAACAATAGTTTCCAAAATGTCTAATGAGAGGAATAATTATCTCTACAGAAATATGTAACTGCTAGAAGCCTAGAACTAAAACAATAAGGCAAGAAAAATCATAGCCAAAGTTGCAGGATGAAGCAGGGAAAGAATAATAACACCGAGGTAGCACTGTTGAGGCATAATACATCAGATGCAATTTATTACCTGTAGCCTGAATGGCTTCACTCCAAGGATAACAAGGCGTTCAAAGAGAGATTGTGCTAACCCTGCACGGGCTGCTTTTTTGCACATGATGACTGGACCCAGTTGACAATGATCTCCGACAAGGACAACCTACAATTGCAAGAGTATAAATAAAGGATAATAAAATAAAACAAAAAAATATATATTTTTACCTGCTTGACACCAAGCACCAAAGGAATAAGGCATTCAGGTTCTGTTGCCTGTGTGGACTCATCAATAAGAACCTGACAATAAAGTTCACTGTTGCCTCAGGATATATTACACAATAGGAATCATTGTTAACCTGAGACAGCAGGAGGTGATAATAATTACTTGTCGGAAACGAAAGTTTGAAAGACGAGGATCTCCAGCACCAACACAGGTGCAACAAATGACATCGGCACTCTGCAGTATCTCTCTTTCAGTGGCACGCTTTAGTGCCTTGTACTTCTTCTCATCACTGCTGGACAATTCACCTGCAATAGTATAATATGCATGTAAGAATACTCACTCAATAATCTCTGCACATCACATCCCTCAAAAATGCTTGATTGTGGCACAATGGTATCACAATACTTAAACATGGATTACCTTGTTCATCTTTCAGTTGCTGTAGCTTGTGCAATTCACTCTTTTCAGAGGTATCAAGGTGCCTAACCTGCAAGATTTTACATAAGCATCAGTTACATCAATAGAAAGATTAATTTCCATAAAAGCAACAAAAGGAAGTACCTGATAATGAAGTGTCAGATGCTCAACAGGAGACGAAACAGCTTCTCTAGATTTTGCACACAGCCTGACAACCTGTAGCACGTAATCAAAATTAATTACAGAAATCACTAAATACCGAATCAATATCAGGAGAACAGAACCAACAGAAGTTGGATACTGAAAAGGTGGGCACGGCGGGTGGAATGGGGAATTCTGTTATTTATCATGCTATGATTATTCACAAATTCTTAGTTGAATATCATTATCATATACTACTGGAATACTCGTGACAGGTTCACACTGCAGTCAACCATACAGACAATGCTCGGTTAATCCTCCAAATAGCTTTGGCATACAACTATAAATATAAAACAAGTTGGAGAACTGCAGAAATTTAAATAAGATTTCAATGATACCTTGAGACCGGTTGAGCTTATCTTCTCTGCCAGCTGATCAACTGCAACATTACTTGGGGCACATACAAGAACCTACAAATTTGACAAAATTAGAGGCCAGAAAATTCTCCCTATATATATCACCAAATCAAACAGCATACTTTTAATAATCCTATACCTGTCCTTGACCTTGTTTTGCCATGTGATACACAATTGCAGCAGATGTGACAGTTTTTCCAGTGCCAGGTGGACCTTGAATCAAACTAACTGGCTTCTGCAGGACACTTTTAACTGCTAAAACCTGAACACACACCAAATAATACAGAAGACAACATCAGATCAAACAGTCAATAATAATATACACAGATCATAACAGCAGCCAGCTTGTGAAGCTGCACCCAAAATTGAAAATATATAATATTCACAGCTTGTCCCAGAACAGAAGACAACCATGTTAATCAAAGGCATGAAGTACCATGTTAAAAGAAAACAAGACAAGCAAAAAAAAAGATAGGAAACATAGTACAAATAAGATATATATATATATATATAAAATGTACCTGGGAAGCATTTAGTTCTGGAAGTCCAGGTGCACCAAAGCGTCTTGGCAGGGTATTGCGTATTATTTGATGCTCAACTTCATGTCCCAAAAGGTGATGGTATATGTATCTGTGTGAGAGAACGGACACAGTAAAACTTTGTTAATAGTGATACAACTATAACAAACACTTCAGAAGAGCGGAATTATACAAGAATGAATGAACTAAATAAAATCTTATTACAGCTACTAAGAATATTCTGCAGTATGCACATAGTTAACCAATGAAACAGTGTATGTATCAGAAACAATCAAATAGTTCGCCAACCAATAATATTTGAAGTGCTTTTGGATTTGATGAAGTTGAAGTGCTTTTGGATTTGATGAAGTTATTTTCTATCGAAGAGCCCAACTTTATAATGCAACGACATGTTCTAATCCTATTCACAAGATCACATATTGAACTCACCCACTGACACTTGTCTCATCCACAGCAAAAGTTTTCATCGCTCCTTGCATCCTATCAAAACTGGTACTCTTCCAAACAAAATCCACACTGAATCCAACGTTTAGCTCAGTAGGCACCCCCTGAAATCCAGGGAAAACGTTACAATAGGATGAGCGAATGCTAAAAAGAAACATGAGAAAAAACATACCGCCTTATACCTGACTAGCACGAAGCTCAAGTGCCACCTCCTCTTGTGCAGTGAGCTTAATCTGAAAGAACAATGTCCTTAGCACAGGCACAGAGATAAAATTGGCCCAATTAAGATTATCAACATGTTTCTAATTACCACATGTCCCACAGATTGCCATGTGGGATGAGAGCTATCACCAGGATATCTCAAGCGTAGCTCATCTCCAGGCACAAGCCTCAACTCATTGTCTTCCTAAAATACATAATTGTTTCCCATGTGTTAGGCAAAAGAGTATCACAACGCAATACCAAACATAGTCTACAACAAATCACTATATAATGACAGTATTAATTCACTAATCCCATATATTTCAGTTATTGAACAAACCTTTGGAAAGACAAAGTAAGCTACACGCTTCTTGTTCAACCCAATATCCCACCGGACAGTTACATTATCCTTGCTCTGTGACTCTTTCATCATCTACAACAACATATAAAACAGTAACACAATTCAGTTTTGTGATGGAAAAGATACGAAACATGATCTCGTAATCAGAACACAGTACCTTGTCATAATCAGCCTCAAGCTTTATCAGTGGCGCAAAAACATTTTGGTACTGGCAAAAAAAGGGGCAGGATATAGTTAGAATGCTAGGTGAAAATATGTGCTTCGACAGATTTGAGAGTAGAAGTAAAGCACCAACAAAAAGTAAGCTCAAGTAATAGAATACAGAACTTTAGAAAGTTTTAACCTGGTAAGCATCTTCATACTTCAAAACAACTGACTGAGGTTCATCATCTACACCAGGCTTTTCAAGATCTTCAAGAGATGCATCAGGATTTGTCTTCCAGAGCTCTTCCACTTTGTTAATTTGCTGAGCACTAATTTGGCGAGCTCTTAGCTGCTCCTGCTCTGAAGGTACCTGGAAGAAAGCAAATTGTTCAACCATCAGAAAGTTACTAGCCATGCACAAATGCATGACAGACAGACCTAAGAAATCATCATGAGGAAACACTTGCCTTTACAAGCCACGACAAGAAACACCTGTCATCGATAAGTGGGCACCACTGGCTGAGATCCCAATTCATATCCTTCAGTGCATTAACACTTAAACATGGCTCTCTGCATAATAGAACGACAACATTTTCTGACTTTGCTGAGATAAACCCAAGAAGAAATACATTCCGACAACCACAGTTGTAGCATTCGAGAATTGTTTCTCCCAAAGGGCTATCCTTGTGAAGGCACACTTCCTTATGCTTTGCCCTAACCTGCAAATGATACATGAATGGTTATGACCCTGCACACAGCATTAATTTCATTTATATAGGTAAAGGTAGGTGGAATATTGCGCAGTAAGCATATGCTTAAGAATGAGTCATTTGTATACAAAGCTTATGGTTGACTATAGGTAGCAAGTATATGCTTATAATAGAGTAGGCCAACGGTTGACTGATAGAGCATTGACATCGTAGAACAAGCTAGAAATTCCGCCTCATTGCCAAACCACTGGAGCTTGATTCACATATACATGTTCATTTCAGGGAGTAGAATCATATAATCTTTCTAGAACTAGATAAACTGAATAGAATATCATCACTTTTCTCCCACCCCATTCTTTCCATCCTTCATTTCACTTGTAAATGGACCCATGCCTCAGCTTTTGTATTAAGCATTTTCTGCATGTACTTGTACCAGTACTTGGTTTGCTTGGACAAGCACCATAGCACAAAGTGGCGGGCATCAATGCCAGAACAATGGTGTACTTGCATGCTGTGGGTGGCCTTAATAAGGATAGCAAAGTTGCTTATGGAACACCACAGAGCTTCTCAATAAGGAATCAGGATTGCAATATAATAAGTTGAACAAACAGAGGTGTCACAAAATAGGCTTTCAATGGTTAAGGGACAATTTTTTTTTTTTAAAAAAAAGATATTGCCCTGTTGCCGTCAAACCATTGTGTCCTACACTCCTACTCTTATACGGTTTGAGATGGTCTTCACTGAAAATATAATTAAACTGCCAGCAAACTATTTAGACAATGGCTTCAGCAACACCTTGCAAATGAGACATAACAATTAAGACCCTAGCTACCAAATAGGAACGAGATGGTCTTAACTGCAAATACAGTTAGCTTCCTAACGAACTGTTTAAACAATATTGCCAAGGACCCTTTGCAAATGAGTCTGGACAATTAAGATCTGAGCTACCAAAATAGGAACCACATTCACAAAATATGGCAACCATTCCAATAGCGCAAAAAATCAAAATTCAATACTGCACAGCAAAACCAAACACGCACATCTAGCAATCGTCGCATTCCCAACATCTCCCAGAGATACAACAAGTATACTCCACACTTGCTTATTCTAAACCTAATTCAAGAGATAATTAACATGGCATTCGCTTCAAAGTTATTTTATCTATAATAATTATTTCCACCAGAAAACGTTCCAAGTATAAAGCCACATCAATGCAGTGCAGCCACCAGGATTATAACAAATTACAGCAAGTAGATACACCGCCACTATCACATACCATAAAAAATACAAAATCTAACTAATAACTAACCACCTCCTTAGCCACTCCCACATATATAATACAAAAACATGCTACCACAACGTCTGAACATTAGTTTACTAGTGGAGCCATAAAGTGCAGCCCAATAAACTAATAAAGCATGATGTCTTCTTTTAACGACCAAAAAGACTAAAATTGATCCAGAGTGGTAAAATTGATCCAGAGTGGTAGAATTTTGTGAGACAGAGCTCTCACCCAGTTCGGTTCTAAGCAATTATCAACAAGTTTGTAAGACAGAGCTCACTCGTTCAGTTTCTAAGTAATTATCAGCAAATTAAAAGCTCACTAGTCTTGATCTTAAATTCTAACAAAGCTATGTCTATGTCATGACAAAAGGTAAGCAGACAAACCAGGTGATTGACAATGTGGGAGCCAGAGGTGTTCCCCCGCGAGTTACAGAACCACTTGCGGCAGGAGGGCACGTTGCACCTCGCCACGCACGCAGGGTTGTGGATCCCGCAGTACCGGCAGGCGTGTTCCACGAAGTCTCCCTTGCCGTAGTCGTACCCGTCCTCCCCGGCGCCGGCTCCTACAGGCTCCTCGAAGCTGAGTGCGGCAACCCCGGAGGCGAGCCCATCCGCCGCAGCCGACGAGCGCGCCTTGGAGGCGGACCGCGGCGACGGCGAGGAGGAGGAGGCCGGCGGGGTGGGGACGTCCTGAGGCGTGAGATCGGGTTCCGGGGAGGCCGCGTCGGACTGCGGCGGCGGCGGGGCAGGCCACGACGAGGACGACGCGCCGGCGCTGGGGACGGAGGACGTTAGCGGCGTGGATCGAGGCGGCGGTTGGGAGAGCTCTGGGAAGTCGGGGTAATCGAAGTCGTCCCCCTGCGTGTTGAACTCGAGAAAAGTGTAGGCGTCGCCGGCGGCGGAGGCGTCCGGCTGCGAGGCCGTCTCATAGAGGTCAACCGCGGCAGCGGCGGAGGAGGGCGGCTGCGTCGCCATCCCCGCCGGTTAGGGTTAGGGTTTTGTCGCTAGCGGAGGAACGGAGGAAGGGCTTGGGAAGACGGGGCGAATCGGGGAAGGAAGGGGAGAGGACGACTCGGAGGGATGGTGATGAAGAGGGTGGGGGTTTGATTTTTTTTGGATTTTCTTTTTTCTTATAACCGTGCGGGGTGGTGTTTGATCTGGGGAGGCTGCTGGGTGCACGAGAGAAGTGGAGAGGGACCGGTACCTACGAGTCTAAGCTCCGTCGCTCCGACGACTACGCGTTGGTACGCTGCGTGACAGCGTGGGCCGGTGAGGGACTTTTTCTCAGGCCATTATACTGTGGCTGGTCGCTCGGCCCACCGGCCTGGTGTGGGCGTGTGGCCCAGCTAGATGCGCTGTTCAGCCCACGAAAAGAAAAGGTGGCGGTGGGTGGGCCCAACTGGTAAATGCCCTGTTGTTTCCCATCGCTCTGGATCTTGATGCGCTGTTCATCCCAGGAAAAGAAAAAAAGTAGCGGCTGCACACTCATTCATTAAACTACCTCTGTCTTGCAATCCTAGGATGATCAACAACCTATGCAATTCTAGACTCGAGATAAGCACTAAGCTATGTCACTATAATTGAAAGTTTTAGCTCAGTTTTCTGCTTAGGATGACAAGTCCTAATATCACCACTCTATGAATTGAACAAAAGTAAATGCACAATAGTATGAGAGAGTGAAAATGCAGATGGTCTATTTAGATATGCAAGTAGGTTTCTGTCAAGTGTATTAATATCTCTACCGCTAAAGAGTTATGCAACCTAGGTTCCAAACCTATTACTGGCTTAACAAGCTAAACTAGGAATGTAAAGCACACAACATAAATACACAATACAAATTTGGAAGCTTAAATAAGATAGAAATGCAAACTCTTGTTAATGACTCCTGTATTTTTACCAAGGTATTAAGAAGCACACGCTTTTCCCTAATCCTCGTCGGAGCCCCCCGCATACCCTCGCAAGGGCCAAGCTTCTGGTCGCATAACTCCATGGATAGCCCAGAGTTTTCCCCATGAGTAAATGGGTCTCAAGATGGCCTCTCTCAGGCTGCTCTCTATCGTCTTTACCAACAAGTTTTCGGCCAGACCACCGCGGGCCTCATTTCCTCCGGTACATAGTTGCGGATGCACCACAAATGCGGTTTGTATGGGCTCGTAAGACTACAAACCTCCTCTGACGTACAACAATAGTGCGCACAAGTACCGAGTAGTGAGAGATGTGCAGACCTCACTAAACACTAGGCCTAAACCTAGAGTAAGCGTATAAGCGGTGATCTAACTAACCTAAGCACTTTGCAAAAGCACCTATGCTCTAAATAGTGAATCCTTAAGTACTTTGGTGCCTAGAGCAACTAAAGATGAGCCTGAACTCACACTACAATTCCTTGAGCTCTACACACTCTCAAATAGTCAAATCGCTAGTTAGGGTGGTATTTACTACTAGGTTAACGAACTAAGGTATTTGGCTCATTTAGCTTGTGAGCTGGTTAACGAGCTAAAATGCTAGCTTGACTCATTAAAAAAAAGTAAACGAATCGAGCCAAGCGCGCTAGCGATCGTTTTTTCGTGGAGCCCTACTAGGAAGGAGCCCGACCTTCTCAAGGCTGCAGAGCAGGTGCGGACACTGCACAAGCAAATACAACCAAATTGAGCGTACCCAAACACCTAAGACTTTGTACCAAGCTGCCCTAGATAAAGAGATGCATAGGCAACCAATAAAACCCTACAAGCTCCGCAATGACGGCACAGAGAACTAACACAGGGGGCTTTTTTACTCCACTCCCCCAACTCAATTAACAATTCACGTGTTATTAGGAAAGCAAAACGTTACTGCATAAAAAAAAAGCAAAATGTTACGACGCATGGGGCCTTTTTGCCTCCACTGCCCCAGCTCAATTAATTATTCACATGTTATTAAAAAGCAAAAGGTTTGAACGATATAAATTTTGGATATCATGGTTTGAACGATACAAATTTCAGGGATATCATGTGGGGCTATTGCCGTGCTGGCCTTATTTTAGCTTACAAAAATTCCAAATTCCAATACATGTTTGGTACACATAGCAAGCATGACTCAAGCTAACTGCAATAACTAGCTCTAATACCCAACTATACACTAGAGAACTCATAAAACGTATCGTTCCAATGCAAATGGTCCATTCACCGGGTAAAGACTATGGTGTGTTCACTGGCTGAGAGGCAATCAACTCTCCTTCCCGAGGGAAGCATCGGTGATAACGCGTTCTGATGTTCAGGGTCTCAGAGATCATGAGCAGCAAGTGTCAGAGACTGCAACTAACAACTGCATCCCCCAGCCTGAGCCTGAGACTGGGACGAGTTTGCATTGCCGGACCTCAAGTTCACATCAACCATGTCTTCCTGCTTCGCTGATGAGAGTGTCTCCATTCCAGGAAGTGCAGCAGCAATTTTACGGAACAGCGCCTGCTCACAAGTTTGTGGTGGTCAGTGCAAAACAAACAAGTATGTTGACATATAAACACATACAGACAGGCAGAAAAATGAAGGCATTTCCAAAGAAAAACACAGTACTCTGAACTTTAGAGAGAAAAAATCGCATGCTCTAGATTATCAATATGAACCCAACTTATGAAATGAGACATCTAAGCAGTTTCTAAGCAGTTTACATTTCTGAAGCATACCTTAATGTTAAACCCAGCTTTAGCACTGGTTTCAATAAACATGACACCAAGGTCCTTCGCCTTGCCTTCCCCTTCCTCTATCGAGACTTGCCTGTTCCATGAGATGCAACAGAATTTCAGCAAGAATATAAGAGTGACATACTTCTTCAAATTACATAAATACCTCAATGACGACTGATTCTACAAGACAAGTGGTAATTTAGTTAATTTAGCTAAGCTGGAAATAATCACTTGAATACAGAAGACCTAGAAAGTCATAAAAGCAATGGTATACCAATAGATGTCTGATTCCAGTTCTAGTGACAAAAACAAACAAACAAAACGCCCATACACACTGAGTAAAGATATATAGCATATGCTAAGTAAATCCAGGATTAAAGAAAGCAAAGCTTCCAGCTTTTTGCTAAATGCCAACCCAAGATCTGTGCTTCAGAAGAATGCTCTAAATGCCTCACTGAGATTGAGCCCTGGACCCAGGTCCCACTTGATATACTCAGCAACCAGCACATGGGATTCTTCTGAATCACAAAGTTTAGGGTGATATCCACCTCAAAATTCCTAGGAAATTCAATCCAAATATTTTAAAGTTATTTTTTGCTTGGTATGAATTTTGTTGTCGGTATCAAACGACAAGGCAAATAAATGGGAGAACTAAACTGCCAATTTTAGAACAATAATAGATGACACAGAAAAACATCTGGAGAATTATATTTGACATGAGAGAGACCAAAGAATTTAAAGCCAAACAAAAGATACATAGAGCAACCAACAAAACTACAGAAATCAGGCAAGTGTAAACACCACCGACCTCTTGTCAACAAGGTCAGTTTTGTTCCCAACAAGCACAATAATAACATCACTGCCCCTCTCAGTGCGAACTTCCTCTATCCACTTAGATGTATTTAAGAAGGACTGCCTGCCTACAACATGAAACAAATAAAGGTAAGAACAAAATAGTAAAAGTTTATGTCCTTAATCCTTAAAAGATAAAAGTTCCTAGTCATTGTTGCTACTGATGTGCACCTGATATCATTTTTTTCTAAAGAATGTGTTTTGTGTGTGTGTGTGTGTGTGTGTGTGTGTGTGTGAGAGAGAGAGAGAGAGAGATTACTTGCAACATCGAATACAATGACAGCAACTGAAGAGTCTCTGATATAGCTTGGAATTAAACTCCTGAACCTTTCCTGACCAGCTGTATCCCTGCAAAGAAAACAAAACATGCATAAGGTCAACAGTCTGTAGATCTCAAGGGGGCATACAGGCTAACGGATGCAGTAGTAGTCACCATACCAGAGTTGGAGTCTCACAGTTCTATCTTCAAGGTACATTGTCTTCGACAGAAAATCAATACCAATTGTAGCCTGCATACCAGAGAAAACAACTTTGAGCAAACCTGAATAGACTAACCAGTATTACTGCATAACAAGCCAAAAATTAAAGGAACGAACTCAACATAGTAGTAATAGTCTGTTGAGTGCTCAAAATAATCACTCCAACAACCAATACAGCACACCATAAAATACATGCAAAGAAGCAGTCAAAATCCATCGTGACTTACATCTCTTAAGATTTCCAAATCATAAATAATGACTGAAAAAAGTTATGTTGCCATGCTAGTTCTTACTGTAAAGTGCCAAGCCCATGGACATGACAGAAGTCCCTTGTTAAAGTAGCATCCTAGTAATACAGAAAAATACTTGTCTTCCTTACTCCCTCTGTACCTTTATGTTGGTCGTTTTAGCTTTTATGTGTTGTCCCTAATTAACTGTCGTTGGCCTAGCAAGTGTATAGGTGTAGTACCATCTTATCACATCCACCTGTCTATCGCAGTGTAGAAGGCTGCAGCCTTACCCCTTCCCCCTCTCACACCACCGACACAAGAACAAAGCAATAATGACTTGATGGAGTCTCAGGCTGGTTGCTCTATAGGGCTGGCGGAGTCACAGGCTACTGTCCTTGATAACCGTGTACAAGTCTAAAACGACGAATATTAAGGGACGGAGGGAGTACATTACAAGGACAATAATTCAGTGGCAGGCTATTCACATCACAATCTCTGTCCCAATACACAAAGATTTGGGCTCGGGCATCCCAGAGAACGATGTCAAGGACCTGTGATCCAATCAGGCAATCATACCAATATACCATAACCAATGGGTGAGGCAAGCTCAAATTTTAACGGTACGCCTCACACGCAAGTGATCCAAACAGGCAGTCATACAACCACCTTTTAAGGACGGTGAGAACAGTGCCAAAATAATAATAATAATAATAATAATAATAATAATAATAATAATAATAATAATAATAATAATAATAATAAAACCTCACATATAACTGCAACGCTAGTAGAGGCACAAATAAGGCAATTCATCCTCCTTCATCATGCGTCATGTGCATTCCATTGTTTGGTGAAACAGCATCATCACAGACCCAGAAAAAAACAAGGATAGATGCGGAGTTATGGTTTTTACGCCTAACTACCGGAACCACCCCGATCCAATCGAGCGCAGGATAGATCACCCAGCCCCGGATCACATCGACCTACCGATCCTCCTGCGTTGGATCTGGCCAGCCCGATTGGATCCAACCCACTAACCCAGCCCCGACGCGGCGAGATGACACGAACAGCAGGCGAGGGATCGATCGGGATCGGAGCAGGGGAAGGAGGCGTGCGGGCCGCCGTACCTGGTAGGTGTTGTCGAACTTGTCGTACATGAAGCGGGTGATGATGCTGGTCTTGCCGACGGACTGGTCCCCCAGGAAGACGAGCTTGTACTTGGCGAGCGCCGACACCGGTGCCATCTCCGCCGCCTCCTCCTCTTCCTCTTCCTCTTCTCCCTCCCACGGCAGGCGGCGACGAGGTCAGGTGAGATCGGATCCGGCAGCGGGAGAGGGGGATCTCGCTCGCTCGCTAGCTCGCGCGGTCGGCGTGTGTGTGACCGCCCCCCTTGTCTCTCTCTGTCCCCGCGACCGCGAGTGTTGCGCTCCCCCTTCCTTCCGCCTCCGAGATTGGTGCCTGCCGTTTATAGCACTCGCGGAGAAGGCGGCCGGACCTGAGGGCAAATGGCACGAAAGCCTTTTGTTTTGCAGCGCTAATACGAAAACGTGGTACAGGCGTACAGCACTGAAGGAGGCCACCGGCCACATTCACATTCGGTTTTCACAGTAGAAATTGACATGATATCAAGGTAGATAACTTCGGATAACAAGCAAGATAGCACGGAGTTTACGACATATTCGAGTTCGATGCTAACCAACGATTAGCTAAAGATAATTGAGATTAACTAAAGATAGAAACTTGCATATGATTGTTCGACTCATACGATTGTTCGGTTCATACAAGTTCATACTATTGTTCAAAAGGAAATGCTCCCGTAGGACGCCTGGCCGTCTGCGCGACGGCTTCCCAGGACCATTCAACCAACAATGTAGAGATGCACCCATAGGATTCATAAAGATCTTTCAACAGGCGGATCAATCTTCTCTGATAAAATTAAACAACAACTGCACACATGCGAACATGATTGACTCCTCAATCCTAATCGCAAGACTAACTCGCTCGTCGCACCTAACATTTTTCGACCAACTAATCGTTGAAGCTCATTCCTATGATCACACATACATACACCGCTATGTGGTTAAAAAAAGATAAACATAGTGATCAAGATTCTCAAAACTAACCTTAGTTCGCAAACAACAATGGAGATAAGTTGTCCTTTGGCGAGATTGGGACTAGATTGGGACCTGCGAGAAACCAAAATAATTGACGATGAGCATTGAGACAATTACAAATGCACCATGCATATATATAAACTGTCTGATATATAAAATAATTACATGTATTCTACCTCAAACTCCGTCCTATGTGTACGACCACTAAATTTAGTCCAAATATGTTCCACCAAATCATTCTTAAGTCGATGATGAGCGATCGATCTCGAATAGAAGTATCTTTTCTAAAACTCTCTCCAACGGAACATATTGATCAGTAAGCTAACTGTATTCACTAGCACACACATACACATCCATTTGTAATTTATTCAAAAAACTAGCAGATCGATTTATACACACACAAATGCTTTCATAGATTGAAATGAAAACATACCATAAATTTTGTGTAGCGATTTCCTTCTTGATTGAAAATTTGAGGCATAGGCAATCCCCCCGCTCGTGGAATGTGACCACCATTTGCTCCTTGCAGAGAGGCCGTAGCTGAAGAGGGAAGAGTTCATCGCAGAAGTGGGGCCGAAAGACGAATTTGGAGGCGCCGCCCAAGCAGAGAACGCAAATCTTCATTCCAAAGCGGTTGCCACGCCCTTTCCTCCTTTCTTTGTGCCTGAGCTCGGCGTCCGCCATCCATAGCTCTAGCTCTAGATAGGCACCAATGGTGGCGGCGGCGAAGAGCGGCGAAGATGATCGACACGGGACCAGAAGAAAAGGAGATGGGGAGGACGGCCAGGGAGATGGGGAGGACCGTGGCAGGAGATTGGGAGGAGCCATGGGAGATGGAGAGGAATGGGCGGAGAGCGAATTCGGCCGGTACCGGCTCGAGCACGGGATCCATGGAATGAAATTTTTCCCTCAATGGTGGTGTCGTCCGATTCACGAGCTCTAGGCGCCATTTGGGTCGTTTCGTGGCCACGACACGAACTCTCTCTCTCGGTTTCATTCACGATTCTAGCGTGGCATCTAATTAATGTGCATGACACCTGTGAAATCTGCTCGGCCGCTAGCACTACACACGAGGGCAAATGGCACGAAAGCGCCGTATTGTTGGATTCCACAAGAAGGAGGCCACCGGCCAGTTGATTCCACTTTCACTTGGCTATTATAGAACTAAAAACAAGCGCTACATGCGGATAGGTCTGGCGTCGGCCGTCGGCGTCGAGCCGATGCAAGCGGACGGATCCAACAGAGCCAGCGCTTCTCAATTGTCGCTACATGCGACTCCTCAATCCTCGTGTTTAGATATATGTTTTCAAGTGTTTCATCGGCGATAGATGTTGTGTATGTTGCACCGGCCCGCGCGACTATCACCACTCATGAATGCCGTGGATTGTTCGCGACGACCCTGCTGCGTACGCCTTTTACGGCATGTCCTTCTCTCTTTATGCCAGCATCCTCGCTCTCCACTTTCAAGCTTTAAGTAGTTCCCCACAAGGTAGGTCGTGTTGTTGCCATAACATGCGGTGTTTAGATATATGTGTTCAAGTGTTTCATCTGAATGTTGTGTATGTTTAGCGTGTTTAGTGTGTTTCAATGTATGTTTCAAGTGTTTTATCCGAATGTTGCATAAATGCATGATCAAGCGGATTCAAGTGTTTTAGGTGTTTTTTTTGCAATGGCTTTTCAAGAATGTTGCAAAATTAGATCTGGATATTGCATATGTTTTTGCAATGGCTTTTAAGTGTTTTTCAGGTGTTTCAAACGTATGTCGCAAGTGTTTCAGCTGTTTCAGACGTGTGTTGTAAGTGTTTTTCATCTGGATGTTGTAAAAGTAGACCGAGATGTTACACATGTTACAATTGGACCCACCTGCTGCAGACGTCTGCCGCTGCTGCTAGGGTGCCGTCGTGGGTCACTGTGCGGGGGTGAAAAGATCCTTGTTCGGTTTTGGTAATTGAGTGACAACCAAGGTGGACTAATGTGTGGTTAAGTGCAATACACAGGAGATTAGTCCATAGGTGAATATGTGATGATAGAGCTCATTGCATATGAGACATGACATTGAGTCATGTGACTAAGCTGGAGAAGATCAAGATAAGACTTGGCTCGATGGACCGGTTGCAAGTGTGAAGGGCAAGTTGAGTGATGACTTGGCGCCAATGGACCGAAGCAACGGTGAAGAGCAAGTGAAGTCAAGATCGATGAACCAATACGATCATGTGATGATATGAAGTGGATCATTTCATTTGTGACATGGTTAGTGCATGTGTTGCATCAACAATGGAGATGGAAAGGAATGCGCAAGGCAAAGGTATAACTTATAGGGCATTTTATTTCACCGGTCATAGGTGTGTAGAAAAAAGTATGACCGGATTTAGAATAGATGGTTGTACTATTAAAAGGGACAAACTTGTTTGTATATCGGTTATTTAGTGCCACTCGAGTGATCTAACTTTGCATCGTTGCTAGGATCGAGTGGCGTGGTGAATTGAGTGACTAATCCTTTGGAAAACATTTGTGAAAAGCTAACACACATGCACAAGATGGTGAACACATAGTGGTGTTGGCACATTTGCAAAGGAGGAGTTGTTGGAGTTAATTTGGATCAAGTTGGAGAGAAAAAGAAGAAGAAAATAACAAGTTTGGGTTGTCCGAGGGTCGAAAAACGCAACTAAACTTGCAGCCAGCGCGTAGCCCAGCCTGTGGGGGTGGCACCGCCATTTTTGGTGTGCACCGCCACCCTAGGCAAGGTGCACCTCCATCCTCTGCCGCATGCCCAAATCAGCACAGCCACTCTTTCGTGTTTTGGGTATAACTCTTAGCTCTGAACTCCGAATTCGATGATTTAGGACTTTTTGGAAAGTTAATGAAATGCTCTACAAGATTGATCTGGTGGTTTTTGGCTTTGAGCTGAAGAGGGCACCGCCATGGTCACCGGACTGTCCGGTGGTGGCACCGCTGCTTTTTTCCAAAGAGTGCATTTTTTGGGGGTTGGCCTGGGTGGTCACCGCCACCCCTAGGGCGGTGCACTGCCACCCTATGTCCGGTGCCAGGGGCTCAACGACTAGTTCAAATTAGCCGTTAGGACTTGACCGTTGGAGGGGCACTGCCCTATCCTGTGCCAAACACCACCTTGTTCGGTGCCCTCGCAGAAAAGGAATACTTTGCTCCAACGACTCTATTTGACTTGGGGGCTATAAATAGGGGTGGAGCACCGGCTTGGATGAGGTTGAGTACCTTGGGGATGTGTTGCACTTATGTGTGCTTGGTTTGAGAAGCCTCTAACTCACTTGTGCTTGCAAGAAGTGCGAATTCATTGCGAGTAAGTGATTTAGTGCGTTGCATTGTGAGATTGCATTAAGTGGCACTATATGATCGAGTTGCAAGCCGGTGGTGCTTGTTACTCTTGGAGGTTGTCACCTCCTAGACAGCTTGGGGATGGTCTCCGTTGAAGCACACAAAGAAGATTATGCGATGCTCCGGTGAAGTGATTGTGAGGGGTATTGTGCTCACCCCGCGGGAGTCATGAAGATCAACTCTAGTTGAGCGTGTTGTTGAGCTACCCTCATTTTTGTGGTAGGTTCTTGTGGTGCCCAACGTGTGGGCTTGACGAGTGATGCTAATTAGCCGTCGAACCACCAAGTGAGCGGTCGACACAACAGGAACTAGCTTGGTGGCAACCAAGTGAACCTCGGGATAAAAATCACCATGTCATCCTCTTCCCGTTGGTTTGCAATCCCCTTACACAAGCTTGTAATTACTTTCACATTCATTGGGCTTGTGTAGTTGCTCTTGTAATTAGTTAGCTTGTGTAGGTTGCTAGTTATTTTCTTGCTTGTGTAGCATAGTAGTAGCTCCCTTGCGTGACTAATTTGGTTTAAGTAACCTTGTTAGTCACATTGCTTAGTTTGTGTAGCTAAGTAACTTGTGCTCTCTAATTTGGCTTGTGTAGCCTTGTTATTGAGCATTGCTAGTGAGTTTAAGAGCTTTGAGCTTTTGCTTACTAGTTTGTGTAGGAGCTCCCCCGGTTGCCAAAGTACTAGTTGTATAGATTTGTGTGACCTTACTACTAGAATTGTTTAGGTGATCTTTAGCTAGCCCGACACCTTTGTTGCCTAATTAGAATCTTTTAAGGT